CCTTCTTTGTCTCTTGTCACTGTCACTGTTTTAAAGTATATTTTGTTGGATAGAAGTATTCTACCAACAAGACTACCGCAGTTTTCTTTTGACATGCATTTGCATGATAATGCTTAATCTGCAGGTGTCTTTAGGTATGAAATGAGTCCTTTGTAGGCAGCATATAGATGGGTCTGGTATTTTTATCCATTCTATTACCTTATGTCTTTTGATTGGAGTGTTTAGTCCATTTATATTCAAATTAATTAGTGGTAGGTATCTACTTACTGCCATTTTGTTACTTGTTTTATAGTTGTTTTGTAGTTATTCTCTGTTGCTTTCTTGCTGTCTTCTCTCACAGTTTACTGGCTTTCTTTAGTGATAGGGCTTAGATTCCTTTCTCTTTGTTTTTTGGCTACCATTAAGTTTATTTATAACATCTGCATAGGGCAGTCTGTATTACTGATGGTCACTTAAGTGTGAACTGATTCTTTACTCCTCCCCCTCCCCCATTTTAGGTATGTGGTGTCATACTTTACTTTTTTTTTTTTTTAATCCCTTGACTGACTTTTACAGATATATTTAAGTTTACTGGTTTTGTGCTTCCTACTTTTCTTCCTCCTATTTATGGTTTTTCCTTTCCACCCAAAGAATCCCCTTTAATATTTCTTGTAGGGACGGTTTAATGGTCATGATTTTTTTTTTTTTTTACTTTTGTTTGTCTGGGAAACTCTTTATCTCTCCTTCTGTTCTTCCTGGGTAGAGTATTCTTGGTTGCATGTTTTTGTTTTCCTTTAGCATGTTAACTATATCATGCCATTCCCTTCTGGCCTTCAAAGTTTCTGTTGAAAACCTAGCTGATAGCCTTATGGAGTTTCCTTTGTATGTAACCATTTTCTTTTTTCTTGCTACTTTATAAATTCTCTTTATCACTACTTTTTGCCATTTGAGTTTTATGTTTGATGTGGACCTACTTGGGTTGATTTTGTTGAGGGCTCTCTGTGCCTCCTGGATCTAGGTTTCTTTTTCCTTTCCCAGATTTGAGGCATTTTCAGGGATTATTTCTTCAGATAGATTTTCTGCCCCTTTTTCTCTTTTCTTCTTATGAGATCCCTATAATGTGAATATTATTGCACTTGATGGTGCACTTGATGGTGCACTTGATGGTTTGCTGAGTTCCCTTTGTTTATTTTCATTTTTTATTGTTTTTTTTTTTTCTCTCTCCAGTTTTTCAGCAAGATTGTTTTCTATTCCTCTGTCCTCCAGGTCACTGATCTGTTCTTCTGTTTCCTCTAACCTACTATTTATCCCTCCAGTGTATTTTTAATTTCAGTGACTGAGTTCTTCATCTCTGTTCTTTTTTAGGTTTGTCTTTGTTGAGGGTCTCACTGAGATCTTCCACTCTTTTCTCAAGTGCAGTGAGTACCTCTTTGATCATTACTTTACATTCTCTATGAGGCATATTACTTATAACCACTTTAGTTAGCTCTCTTCCTATAATTCTGTCCTGTTCTTTCATTTGGGACATATTCCTTTGTCTTTTTATCTTGTCTCTCTGTTTCTGCTTCTCTGTGTTAGGAAAGTCAGCTACATCTCCTGCTCCTTAAGGTAGTGGCCCTTATGAAGAAGAGGGTTCTGTAGTGCAGTGTTCCCTGTTCTCCAGAACCTGGAGCTGCAGGGGTGTCTCCTATGTGTGCTGTGTGCACCCTACTGTTGTGGCTAAGCCGCTTTTTCCTTCAGACCAATAGTCTGCAATGGTTCTTTGCCTGTTGGGGGCAGGGTATGGTAACCATACCCTGTATTGTCAGTGGGCCAGTCCAGAGCAGCCTTGGGCTTGAAATGCATCAGACCAGGCATCTGTCAGAAATGCAGTAGCACCAAACTGCAGGGTAGTTCCCCTGTGTTGTTTCCTGGGAAGCTTTTGTTGGTGAGAGGGACTGCAGTCAGACCAGATGTCTGCCCTTAGCCCACTGCTGGGACCACAGGTGGGACTGCTGTATGTGGTGAGCATCCCCTCTCCCTCGGCAGGAGTCACTTTGGAGTGGTGCTGGCCCATCAGGTCTGCCTGCACACTGCCAGACTCATATAGCACTGCTATGGATCAGCTCCAGCCAAGTGTATACTGGAGGGGCAGGTCTGTGGGAGGACTTGGGGATGAGGGTGGGGTGGGGTGTGTGGTGTTAGGAGGGTTTGTGCAGGTCAGCTGTAGGAGGGGATCAGAGGCACAGAGGGTGGCCCGGTCAGAGGTAGGTTATGTGCAGAAGAGTGAAGGGGTGGGGCATTCTATCAGCAACCCAGGTGGAGCATGTTCATGCTACACTGGTTTCCAGAGGTGTCTGTTATCTAGGCTGGAGGGTGGGGAGGAAACAGCACCCACCAGCTCTTCTGTTCTTGGGAAAGTCTCCCAAATGTCTCCGCCCCTCCAGTACATGCTGTGAGATTAGTAAGTAAATCTAGAACTCAGGCGTTTTGCAGACCACTGCTTCTACGCTGTATCTCAGGAAGGCTGTTCATTGTGCTAAGAGTAGGGGTCAGTTTCCTCTCACCCTCCAGGTTTTCCCAGAGATGAGCTGGCCATTTTTGAATTCCCAGGTGTGCTGCCCTGCTGATTTGAAGCACTGGTGTAATTCTGCCCCTCTGACTTTAATGTGGGTTCTCTGTGCCTGTGGTGAGGGTCTTTTCCTCTGCTCTCGGCAGGTCTGAGGCACCCCCTCTCTCCTGCACAGTCCTGAGAGTCTGTTTGGATCTTGACCATGTCCCCACCCTTACTGCCTGCTTCAGTGTGACCTCTTCTCTGTATTTTGCTGTGGAGTCTGTTCTGCCAGGCTCCGAGTCACTTTCTGGGTTATTTATACTCATGTGGATGTTATGTAGGTATAACCTGGGATGAAGTGAGCTTAGGATCCTCCTACTCCAACATCTTCCCGGAAGTCTGCTGGATTTTTTTTTTATAAATTTCCAGCTTTCTGTCAAAATTCTCAACCTTGTCCTTCAACTAGTATTTTACAGTTTCTGTTTCACATAGTCTTCCTTTTATATTGCCTTGTCTTTTGGCTTTTTAAGGTGTGTGGAAGGTTGTTTTTTAAAATTTATCTGTAAAAAGAATCAGAGGCCCAGAAGTTGGTTTCTTATATTGTTTTCATTTGTTTTTGAGATCCTTTTCACATTCTTATTGGCCATCTTTTGTAAAGTACCTGGTCCGAGATCTTTTGAAAAGTTGAATTCTCTATTGATTATTGATTAGTGAGTTCATTATATACTATGGATACAGTCTACCAGTCTGTGGCTTATTTTTTCATCGTTTTAATGGTGAACGCGAAATGGCAAAAGTTTCAATATCATTGTGGTCCAGTTTATACAATGATTTATGTTTGTTTATATAAGGAATCTTTGCCTCTTTCAAATCCAGATAGTCTCTTATGTTCCTGTGTTTTTTCCTAGAAACTTCAGTTTTAGCTGCTGCACTGAGACCAAGTTTTTTGTTTTTCCCTTGTGTGCATATCTGGTTGTGGTAGCACCTTCCTTTCCACACTGAATCGCACAGACGTTGGTCAGGTGGTCATGTATGTGTAGATCCATTTTTGAACTCACGGGTTTGTCCCACTGAGCCATTCTTTCATCCTTATGATAGTAAGTTTACTGTCTAGTATGGTACAACCTCCAATTTACTGTCTAGTATGGTACAACCTCCAACGTCAGTCTTCTTTAAGAATTTGATTTCTCTAGGTGCTTAATACTCTCATACACATTTTAGAAGTGGCCTGTTTCTATAAAATAGCTTGCTGGGATTTTGACTGAGATTGTATAGGGTCTGTTGATCAACTGGGTGAAATCTGACATATTAACAGAACTAAGTGTTCCTGTGAACATGGGATCTGTGTCACTGTCTCTTATTATCTCTCTACAAAGTTTTGTAGATGTTACACATCTTTCATTAAATGTATTCCTGTGTAACTGATGTTTTCGAATGTGGATATAAACTGTATTCTTAAACTTCACTTTCCAGTTGTTCATTGCTAGTATACAGAATTCAGTACCTTGTAGTCTGCCATCTTGTTACATTTGCTTGTTAGTTCTAGAAATCCGTTTGTACAGGCTTTTGAGTCTTCTCCAAGCACATTCTTGTCCTCTGCAAATGAGGATGGTTTCCTTTCTTTTCCAGTCTATGGCTCCATTCCTTTTCTTGCCTTGCTTGGGACTTCCCACACAGTGCAGACTGGGAGGAGGGCGAGCTGCAGGGGGAGTGCTTCTGACATCTCAAAGCAGTGGAGGTTTGGCTGCAGATTCCACAGAGGTCCTCACAGATGGAGGAGGCAGCCTCCAGCCTTGGCTACAGTGCTTTGCATGAAGGAGTGTGGAACTCTTCAGCTGCTCTCCCTGCATCTGCGGAGAGCATCACACGGGGCTCTTCCTCAGTGAGTGATTGGGGTCAAGGGGCAGTGATACCCGACGGAACAGAAGCTGTACATTTCTGTGGCCAGCTCCACGGGGCTGTGCTATCGTTCTGCTTTATTAGCTATGCGTGCACCTTGACGGTTGAAGGCTATACTCTCTTTGCGACCTGATTTCTGTATTCTTTTTTTCCTTGCTCACACTCATCTCACCAACCATCTCCACTTTCTCCTCCTCATGCTGCTTCTCCTCTGGGCTGTGAAGAGCGGAGGGCCTGCCTGCCACAGGCTCCTGGGCTGTGGTCTTTACATAAAGGTCCTGACCAAGCAGGAGGCCTTCGGGTGGGGGTGTGCCGTCACCCACTACTGCATCCGCAGGGCTCAGGCCCCACAGGGTCTGCTCTGTGTGGACAGCTTGGCCACAGGGGTGGCCAGGCTGCAGCTCGAAGAGCAAGCGAAGGCACTTGGTGGCTCTCTGGCCCCATGCTGTCACTCTGGTGTCAGCCATTAGAAGGCATCCCATGGTAGGTCCTGGGGACTGCTCTCTGCTGAGGACAGAGAATCTGTGGGGACCCCTGGGGGGGGGGGCGGCTGTTGGCAGCCACACGTATCTTCCTCTTTGTCTTGTAGATGAACGCCTCTCGTGGAGCAGCGGGGACACCATGTCTGGCCCCAGCGCCCAGCCCTCTAGCCACCGCGGCCATTCCTGGAACCACCCCGGGCCTGCCCATGCCAGGTACTGCCCTTTCTGGCCTACCAGCCCCACCCTGTGCGCAGCCTCTGGGCCAGTACGGAATCCTGCTCCCAGCTCCAGTGTCCTGGGGGCCCTGGGCAGCCCAGGTGGGCAGCCAGAGACCCGCCCGGGGGCTAGGCTTGGGTGCAGCAGGCGTGCCTGCACTTCCTGTGTTCTTGCGGCCGCCTGTGGTCAGTGCGCCCGGTCCCAGACTGCGAATCACATAGCTCTCTCTTCCTGCTTGTCCACTGGAATGCGCTGAACTGAACAGTTGGAGGAGCCAGGTTACGGCCTGGCCTCTGAGTCCTGCCCCGCCTGCCCATGGGTGCCTGGTGAGGGGCCAGTGTGGGCAGCAACGCTTGCTTCTTTTACTGCTGCAGACCCTGTTCCTTCTTCCTTCCCATGGTTTACACTTGCAACCTTCGCACCCACTTCCTGTACTTGAATCGATGGTTAGAACATTGTAATCTCCCTGCAGAAGTACAGTGCCTTGAATTCCAGCTTTTCTGTTTCCTGACGTAAAGAGATGTTAAAAAAAATCGTACATTGGAAAAGGTGTATTTCATTTTTATAATTGGCTTGTGCATTGATATCATTATTTCCCATTATAAATTGCAGAGATACAGTTTATAAATCTGAAGCTAAAGCTTGATTTCTGTTGTAAATGAGGCCTCTCTGGGCTTTTGTGGTCACAGATCACAGACGGACACCCCCCCACCCCGCAGCTGCAGTGCTCTGCATGCGGCCCAGGGACGTGTGGTTACTGGTACAGTGTGCTGCTGGCAGCAGTTAGGTCTCTTAGTAAGGAGCAGCAGCAGCATTTGGTTGTGCAGTACCTTCCATTAAGTGCTAGATGAGCAGGCACGCCCCCCTGATGCAAAGCCTGTGGGGCGCAGGCAGGCCAGCCACCCTGCAGAGAGGCCGCATAGCCCCCCGAGCTCTGGGTTTCTGCTGACCCTCCTGCCGCCTGCCCTCCCCCCATCGTTTCCAGTGAGGCCTGGGTCTCATTCTGCTGTGCGCATGCAGGCTGCCCTGCCTGGGGTGGGAGTACCCCTCCTGGAGATTTCAGTGGGCCTCATCCCGGATGGGCACCAGATAGCCCCGGTGGGAGCTGCAGTCCCTGCTCCTCATGGCCAAGATCTTTTCCACTTCCCATCAGAAGGTAGCTGCCTTGGGCTGCCTAGCTGTGAAAACTGTATAGTTCTGCTGTACTCTGGGACCTCACTAGACCTGGCTAAATTATTGTAAATGTATTATTCCATCAATTCAGTTAGAATTGAGTTTTCTAGGTGATTATGCAGGGCACGATGCTGTAGTGAGAGATTTCTGTTCTCTGTAACGTGCCCCCTCAGTCCCTTGGTGGAGAATCTCATGCGCCTGGTTCCTGGGGGTGGTGGAAGCTACCTTTCTCCTGTGCACCCCCCTCTTCACTGCTGCACCAGAGGTGAGATTTGGGGTCCCGGCCTTGTACATGGATGGTCAGTGGCACGGAATCCCCAAGAGATTGTGTATATGAAGGAGAAAAATAAACATTTTTGCCTGAAAACAGTGTGGAACAACATCTTTTCCTTACTCCCTGCCCACATAAAAGCTGAACCGGCCAGCCTCCTAGGCTATTCTGGCCGCGGCCTAACACTCAGCTCCACCCCTGCCCGGGACACCTCGCCCAGGAGGTTGGGGTGGCAGTGAGGGGCCTGGGGATTGAACGGTGGGTGCTGTGTTCCTAGCAGGAGCCACGTGTGGTGGATGAGCTGGGTCAGGGGGCAAGAGTGGGATGTTAGGCAGGACCCCCGTCTTCTGCACAGGGTGCTCCCCAGGTGTGGCCTGGGACATAAGGACCCAGCTCTGCTGCCTCCCGGCCTGTTTGCTCGGCTTTCAACCACTCTGGACTTGAACTGCATGTAGACTTGCAGTGGGCTGCACCCCATGGAGGATGTAAGTCTCATCAACTAAATGGTGCCTGACCCCTGTCCATATTGGCTGAAGTTGCACGAAGCCAGGTTGGCATGACTCACCCCGTGGACAGAACTGGGGGGAGGGGGACTCCTTTACTCCTGGATCAGCATTGGGCTTGGAGGCTTGGGAGATGACGTGAACCCTGGAGCAGGTGTGGGTTTGCTGGGGGGCCCGTTTGCAGCAGACCCACCCTTGATGGCATCATACTCCATGGTCTGTGCTGAACGTGCCCTGTACACACACAAGGTTTGCGGTGCCTCTTGCCCCAGCCAGCTGAGAGGTGGTCAGGCTTCACGCCCACGCTCTTGGAGGGAGGGGGGGGACCCCCTCTTCAGAAGCAGCGCACCTCAAGGCTGCCGCTTCTCTCATTGTGCCCAAGGAGCTTGACGTTGCACATGTGCAGGTGCTGGGAAGTCGCCCCATGCAGAAGCTGGAGAGATGGCAGAGGCCACCTGGGGCCTGCACAGTGTGAAGGTCAAGGGCCACCAGCTCTCTGAGGAGTAGGACTGTGCTGGCAACGCTGTTCCACATTCCAGGGCCTTGTGTGACCGAGCTGGGCCTGTAATCAGCTGTGGTGGTTTTGTTTTCTAGATTCTGAGAGTGAGAAGCCCGACTGAGCCCAGGCAGGCCAGCCCGACCCCGACGCCAGGCCCTGTGTCGTCACACGTGGAGAAGGCGAGTTCGCACCTCGTGTCCAGTTCACGCTGTTTTGTAACCACTTTCTAAGCATTTTTTATTCACAACTGGAAACACAAATGTAATGCAAGAATAAAGAATATTTTGGGGGAAAAGGGACTTTGGTTTTTCAAGCTCTCTCCTGTCCAGTGGCCAGAGACCGTGGGGAGAGAGCGAGGGGTGCTGGGGAATCTCCTGGGACCACGTGGCAGGACAAGGTCTAGGACGCCCTTGGCTGAGGGGCTCCTGGTGTGTTTACATGCCACTTTGCAGTGCACCTGTTAGCCCAGGGTCCCTGGGTTGGGACAGCAGCAGGACAGGCCACACAGGTAACAAGGTCCCCCCTTGCAGAGAGGCAGCCTCCCCATCACACCCAAAGTGGCACCAGACCCTGGGAGGCCACGCGACGGTGCCCATCTCTGGTGCCTGCCCAGGTTTGGGCCTTGGTGCACAAAGCTCCTTTCACTTTGCTGACATGGGGGCCTCTCCTGCTGTGTCTTTGGAGGCTTGACACTCCTCCTCCAGGCACAGGGTGGGCATCCAAGCCACGTGCACGGAGGGGAGGCACAGGCCTCCTGGCCAGCAAGGCTGCACCCCCGCGGTGGGGGTCTGTGACAGCAAGACAGATGGGAAGCCTGCAAGCAGCCTCACAGAGAACCACGCGGCGGTGGAACTGGAGGCCCACCAGGGGGAGGGGGCTCAACTAGAGCCCAACTCAGGGGTCCCACTCCTCAGGACCAGAAATTGGGAGCTCGGTTTCTGTTAATCTTGGGCTGCAACTCGGTGCTCCCTTCAGTGGTTTAGTGCGGGGCAGGAGCACCTGGAGCGTGCCGCTGCTGGAGCCCGGACACTGCACATGATGCTGTGGTGGTCACAGTGATGTATGTTCACCACGACAAAATGCCAGCCTCTGAGACACAACTCCTGTCCCAATTGGTTGATGAAAGCAAAGCAAAGCAGCACGGGCTTTGCAGAGGACATGCAGGCATGGTTTGGGGATACTCATGGGGACTGTCCACCCCAACTTTCGCCAGCTCTGCGTGCCACTGCTAACATCAAGCTCGCCCCACCCCAGCATGTGGCCGAGGCCTCAGTTCCCCGCTCTCCTCTGTGATCAGAGCAGGCACATGTGCAGCCAGATGGAACGACATCCTGTGTTTCCACTGTGTTTGTTTTGTCCCAGTCTGCGGCCGTCGCTAGTTTCCTACTGGCAGTAGTAATGCACAGTACCTTTCCAGGCAGCAGATTGATTGATACCATTCCTTTTAAGCAAGTAATAGTACAGGTGCTAACAGTAAAAACGGTGAGGGCAGATGGCTGACATCTGGAGACCCAGCAGGGTCTCCTAGGCAGTCCTGACACCCCTGGATACAAGGATCTATCTAGAAGGACCAAGTGTTCTTTCAGAATTTCTGAGTAGTTAGCACCCAGATTCTGTTCCTGTGCGGAATGGTTCTGGGGCAAGGGAGACTTTGGCATGCGACACTGTGAACGCCACACCGCAGCTGAGAGCTAACCCACTTTTCCTAATCGGCGACCCCGGCCAGTGTCTGCTCTACCCCCGCTCTGGGAGCAGTGGGGTTCTGCCTGCAGAGGGAGCTGCCCTCCAGAAGCAGCTCGATTGCCATGCTGATTGGCACAGGCTGAGGGATGGGCTGGTGATGGAGATGGGCAAGCTGCCACCCTGGCAGGGCCCATCATGCCCGGCGGGTCTCTGGACCCCCCAGAGTAAGCTCCAACCCCCCCCCATCTTAGAATCTAAGATCCCTATGATGGCCTCCCGCAGACGTGGCCCCTGCTGTTGCCCACCCTCCCAAGGGCCCCCCATTCTCCAGACGCCCAGGACCCCTCCTGGCCCTGGTGGCCCTCAAGGTCTTCAGGCCACTGGATCCGGTCACAAGACTGCTGGGAGCCTCTTACTACACCCCGTGATGTGTTTTGTGGGTGCATCTCACTTGTCACACTTGGCTTCAAGCCTCTCAAATGTGTCCCAGAACAGTCAACGAGAATGAAGAGCTGTAGCCCAAAGCCAAACTGTCCTCTGGGCAGAAGCCCACGGCTGTGGCTGCTCAGCACTACTTATGGGAGTGGAAAGGACCCTGCCCAGGCTCCCCCAGGGCAGGGATGGCACTATGGCCAGGGCTCACTCGAGCTCTTCCCGTGGGGCCAGGCCCAGAGTTGCAGGCTCTGCTCGCCATTCTCATTCTGCCCTGGAGGGCGCCCCCAGTCCACCCCCTGTGCCACAGGCTGTATGCCTCTACTTTGTGCATCTGCTCCACACTGAAGAGCTTAAGCTCTGAACGTGCATCTTACTAAAGGGCTGGCTGGCTCTAGACCTGTGGAAACTCAAAAAGACAGAAGAAAGCATCCCCCAGGGTTCCAGGCAAACCCGACTACACTATTCTAGCACAGTCCTAGGTCATAAACGATTCTATATTCTAGTCTGGGAGGCCGGCCTTGATTTAGTATGTTGGTTTTGGGAAACAACGTGTCTTGGGCTGCCATCACAGAACACCCTGTGAGGTGGCTGAAACAACAAACACGTGTGACCCGTGGTTCTGGAGGCTGGAGTCTAAGATCTGGTGAGGGTAGGGCTGGTTTCTCCTGAGGCCTGTTCCCCTGCCATGTACACGCCCGCCCTCTCACTGTGTGCTCATGTGGCTTCTCTGGTGTGTATGTGTAAAGAGGGTGAGTAAATTCTGCTCTCTTAATGATGATATAATCCTATCAGATCAGAGCCCCACCCTTAAGGCTACATTGGACCTTAATTACTTCCACAAAGGCCTTATCCCCCATGCAGCCAACTCGGAGTTAGGCCATCAACATATGAATATTAGGGAAACAAACATTCAGTCCCCATCACATGGCTTATTAAGTTGTTTTGATACACAGTCCATTTGTACAATGGAAACCATATTTGTGTCTACTTGCAGATACATATTTTAAAACTATATAAATACCAAAAACACACACACAAGGGGACTGGGGGGGCCAAGACATATTTGTGGCACAAAACTGAAAGGAATCACTCACTGCTCCCTTTGCTAGGCCCTGCACGAGCTCTTGAGAAGATGGGGGAGAAGATCCCTCCTCAGCCCTAAGGCATCGGCATCATGGACTGGAGGACAGCAGCCAGTGATGAACACACAAGGCAGGCCTGGTCAGTGCGCCAACACTGAGAGCCACAAAACTCTTGGTTTAGAGCTCAAATGCACAGAACCACAAAAGAGAGAAAAAGGGGAAGAACAGATGAAATAAAAATAAAACTGCAACATGACAGGCCTAACCCTAACTATATTTATACATACATTTTGTAATAGTACATAAGGGAGCTGATCACTAATAAAAAATTGTCAGATGGATTAAAAACCAACTACATGTTACATACAATAATCCTAGTTTAAATATAAAGGCATATAGATAGGGTAAAAGGACTGACCAGGATACACCATCCCAACATCCATTAAGTGACTATTAAAATCCAACAATGCAGACTTCAGAGCAAAGCTTATTATGAAGGCAAAGATGATCATTTCAAAACGAAAAGGGGTCAACTCATCAAAAAAACATACAATTCTAAGTGTTTATACTCCTGATAACAGAGCTTCAAAATATGGGGGAAGTGACTGCAAGGAGAAATAGACAAACACACTCTGTCCAGTATTTCAGTGTCCCTCTTTCAATAACTGATAGAACAAAGAGAAAACCACTGTAATAGAGTCTAACCCCATTTTAGTGTATGGCTTCAGACAGCTTTTAAGCCCCACTCTCCTTCCCATTGTGGGCACATCTGGACACCAGATGAGAAGCTCAAGTGCTCTCTCCTTGGCACTGAGGGAAATTCATACCAGGAGTGGAAGCCCTCATTCTGACCCTATCCCTGAACCACCATTAAAAGCCCAAGCTAGACTTGCAAGAAAGATGGTAGAGTAGGAGGATCCCAGGTTCACCTCATCCCAGGATACACCTAAATAACACCCAATCAGTGTAACTAACCCAGAAAAGGACCTAAAGACTGGCAGAACACACTCTTCACAGCTAAATGCAGAGAAGAGGCCACAATGAAGGGGACTAGGAAGGGAGAGAAGTGGTCAGGAGCCAAACGGACCTGTGGAACTGTCTAAGGGGTGGAGGGATGCTATGGCAGGGGAGAGGAGCAGAACCTACCCCAGGCACCCCAGGCACAGGGAACTGCACAAGGAAGAAGAATCCCCATAACGTTGGCTTAGAAGACCAGAGGGGACCTAACTTCATGACTTACTACAATCAGTGGGACTTACACCTGGAAATTAAAAAATCAGCAAGATCGGCTCTGGTAGAGCAAGAAGGAATCACATGTACTATGCTGCCACTCTCCTGTGGACCTGCCCTCCAATATCCCATTGGCTGGAATCCATCCAAGTAGTGCTAGAAGCCTGGTGGTGTGCAAGCAGCCCCAACAGAGGCCAACATCACTCCAAAGTGACTCCTGCCCAGGAAATGAGCAGTCCAACACATCAGTCCAACTGTATCCACAATAGTGGGCTGGGATCAGGCAACTGGTCTGACTGCAAGACCCATCCACTAACAAAAGCTTCTCAGGCGACAATGATGGGAAAGCTCCCCTGCAGTTTGGTGCTACTGCATTGCTAGCAAATGTCTGGTCCGACTTAAGCCCATAGAGGCCCTGGACCGGACAACTAACACAGGAGCCAAACACTACCCAAAACAGGTAGATAGAACCACTGCAGATGACTGGTCTGAAGGCTGAAGTGGCTCAACCACAACAGGGTGCCCACAGCACACATAGGAGACACCCCTGAAAAGCCAGGTTCTGGTGAACAGGAAACACTTCACCACAGGGCGCTACTTCTTCATAAGGCCACTACTTTCAAAAGCAGGAGAAACAGTTGACTTTTGTAACACATCAAAACAGGCACAGAGAGACAAATGAGGAGACAAAGATATATGTCTCAAATCAAAGAACATGATAAGAATCACAGCAATAGAGCTAAATGAAACGGTGATAAGTAATATGACTGAGAGAGCAGGTAAAGGTCATAAAGACACTAACTGGACTTGAGAAAAGAGTGGAGGATCTCCGTGAGACCCTCAAATAAGAGACAGAAAACAAAAA